AACAACATTCATTTGGGTCATTTGGACATACGCACCGATTGGTTAGACGTCCGTAGCGCGTCTTGAAGATTAGGTGATCGGGCATAATCTGTCGTACGGCCACGCAAATTCCGGCAACATAGCCGGCCAGGCCATGGATGTGCACGTCAAACAATATGGTTGGATTCTTGGTAACCATATAATAGAACAGATAATAGATGGTCGTTAGCAGCGAGACGCCAAAGTTGCTGAGCGCAAAGAACTTGAACATTTCGAATTGTCCCCAAAGCGGTTCCAGCATTTTGCCGCACAGCCCGACGGTGACCACGTCGACGATGACCTCCCACCAGTGCAGCTCGATGAAGCAGAACGTGAACGCGGTCCATATCCAAAATTTGCCATTTGGCAGTATGTAGCCAGGCGTCACGCTCAACAGCAGGATGGCCGTTTCCGAAAAGGATAGCAAATAACCGAAGGTGGTCACCAGACAGATGAGCGTTATAACCGGAGATGTGTTGCGCAGCAATGCGGTTAGCTGCTGCTTTAAATACGGTACATTTCGTGTGAGTGGAGCTGACATGGCAACTCAGCTCCTATTTATATTGCCTCCAGATGATGTTGTTTTTGTTGTGTTTCGTTTGGGTTTTGCACAGCGCGCTTGCCGCAGTTCAACGTAAACGTTATGCTTCCTTGTACGTAAATGCGCATTAGTGTGTGTGTGTATGCGTGTGCGTCGCGTTTATGTTGTTTAAATTGTCTCGAATTGCTTATTTTTATTTATGATTATTTTTCCATTTTATGCGATACGAAGTGAGACCAGACTCTATTAATGCCAAAATACCTCTTCTTGTTGCCAGCGATGATTGACAATCAAGCCGATGCTATCGATTGCTGTTCCTTAACATTGCTAATTAGATGCACAAATAAATAGTTGGCATTATAAGCATTTACAGTACATATGAATTTCATTAAATTATTATAAAAAATCTTCATGCAATCGTAAGCGCATAACATTTTTCTCAAAATAAGATAAAAGTTTTGCTATGTTAAAAAGACATCGGTAAATATATAAATCGATATCGATGCCGATAGTTTTCAAATTTGATTACGCGGCAACATTCAACCACGTTCTGGACAGGCAAACGTTTTCGTTTTATATTTAATGTTTGTTTTAATAAAAACGGCACTTGTTGAATTTTTATTAAAACAAATAAAAACGGCACTTGTTGAATTAAAAAAGTTTATCTAATTTACGTTTTATTATAATGACAATTTGTATGCATGTTGCGTGATTTTAATGTTCGTTTCATGTACTCATTATTCATCGTGTTTAATAATTCCACGTGTAATCGATGTTCTATAATTATATTACACTCCTTTAAAACAATGGATTGCATTGAAATTCAATCAATTCAGCGAAATATTGAACTTAAGCAATAAAGTCTCACATATTTTTTTTTTTTTAATGATACAAACTAATAAAACTATTCAAACTAAAGTTCTTGTCGCATTTAACACAAACAATATTTTTTGCCCAGGCCAGCTAAATACGGCAGCAAATAGCCTTAAAATTAGGCCCTATCGTGGAATTTAAAAACCATACAAAAACGTTAATTTGCTTAATAGGTAGACGCGAGGAGGTCGGGGCGGGGCAGGGGCAAAGCGAGCTGACATGTGAGAAGTATGATGAAGTATTTGTTAGCTGTTATTGTTATAATTTCATGTTGAAAGTTTGGATTTGAACTGCTTAGAACAGCAGCGTGCCCATGCCACCCATTTCGGATTGTTCCTTAACGAAAATCTCAAAGTATTGATAGATAATCGTCACAGCCAGCAGGATACCCGTGCCAGAGCCGATGGCGCCCAGGAAATCTGCCATAACAGATAGAGCGCCAATGCAGAGGCCACCAAAAGCAGCGGCCGTTGGAATATAACGATTCAGCTCATGAATCATCGAGTTCTCACGATGGCCTCGCATCACCATGTGCTGCTCCTTCAGCTGCTTGGCAACCTAGTCCGGATAAACAATAAATGGATAAGTGAAATGAATTGTCTAAAAGATTATGGCTAAACTTACATCCTTGGCTGAGCTGCCGGAGACATCGATCCATGTCTTGGAGAAGAAAGCACAGGAGCCCAACATGAAGACAATGTAGAGCAGCGCATGTATGGGATCGGTCAGAATGTGACCCACACTCTCAGGCGGCGACAGATAATAGCACAGGCCACCAATGGGATACGAACGGGCTGGACCGCCACCGCCAACATCGGCCCAAACGCCCAGCAAATTGATGAAGAAATTACCCTGGAACTTAACGGCCAACATCTGGGAGATGACATACAAGTTGGAAACGAGGGCAGACTGCAGAATGATGGGAATGTTGGATGTGTAGAACAGCTTGATTGGATAGCTGCTGTACTGGCCGCGATAACGGGCGCTCTTGATGGGCAAATCGACGCGGAAACCTTGGAAATAGATGACGACAGCAAACACCAAAATGGTGGCCAACAGGTTCATCAGATTGGGCAGATTCTGGCGATAGAATGCCTCACGCAGTGCACGCACTTTATCGTTGCGCGTCGCCATCAAATGGAACAGCGCAATTACGGCGCCCTCGAATTCGGTGCCACGTCCCGTTGTCACCGTGGTGGGCGAGAAGGCCTTCCACACGATCGTCTCGCATATGTTGGTCGCAATGAACAGCGAAATGCCAGAGCCCAGGCCATAGCCCTTCTGGAGCAGCTCGTCGAGCAGGAGCACAATCAGACCGGCGGCAAACAGCTGAATGATGATCAGCAGGCAGACACCGGCACCGATTTCCGATGGATCACCATACATGCCGGTCATCACATAGACAATCGCTTGTCCAATCGTTATGACCATGCCGAACAGTTTCTGTGCACCATTGAAGAGAGCACGATCCTTGGGCGTATCACCGACCTCAATGATCTTGGCACCCGCCAATAGCTGCATTATCAAACCCGATGTCACAATGGGCGAGATGCCCAGCTCCATAAGTGTGCCACGATTCGAGGCGAGAATGACACGGATCCAGTAGAAGGGATCCGCCGAATCGGAGCTCATGATGCCAAACAATGGAATTTGACAACATACCAGGAAAATGAACAATGTGATGGCTGTCCATAGTACTTTTTCTCTGAATTGAATCTGCAATAAAATACGAAAAATAAATTTATTGAAATTTATTTAAATATTGAAAATCTTTATTTATATTTATAACAAACAAATAGTATTTCCCCAAAATTGCTTAAATGCAGTTTTAGTCACAAGTCACGGCCCACATAATTGGCAACTACCGCTATTCCGACCTACATGTGTGTACGTGTGTAAATGTTTAAACAAAAAAAAAAAAAAAAAAAATCCAGTTCTGCTTATCGTGGCTCATCATATGGTCGCGACCGTTAAACACAACAACACGAGGCTGACGTACCATGGCGTCGTGTGGCTGCTTCGTGCGAGCCGAAGTTTGACGTTCCACGTCGTATGCGGTATTGCATTGTTTGTCAAAGTTGTGTTAAATAGTAGTAAGGCAACAAGTAGCCAAGAAAATGGTACTTGATTTTGATAAGAATAGTAGTATCTTGTTTAAAGCGTTTTATGAATGAAAAATTGATTTAAAATGGCAAAACAAATCAGAAACATACTTTAAATACATAAAGAAAACGTAAGAATAGCACAATTCTATATATTTCATAAATTTGTAGTAATTAATGCTAATTCAAAATATTTAATTTTCAGTATGTTCTCAAAACGCAATTAATTCGGTTAATTAACTTGAAACTAATTTCATTTTCATTACATATACATATATGCATGCATATTAAACAACAACTTGTGTGCTTCCGTGTGTCTACTACGAAATCACAAATTGTTTGCGTGGCGCATTCGACTGACAAGTGAAAGCAAAAAAAATAACGCGTGCGCTGGCAACACTGGCACAGCAAAGCAAATACGATACGAAAACGCACAAACCAAACCAAAAAAAAAAAAAAACACACTTTATAAATCACAGCTTTTGCCACGTTAATTTAACCATTGCTAATAAATATACTCTTAATCAATACTTATACACACCTTGCGTTCGGGCTTTGCAATTTCAGGCAGTATACTGCAGAAGGGCTTGATAACTTCCAGGAATTTGACTGCAAATGAATGAATGAAAACCAATTATGTTGTTAGCTCTGATTGGAACGCGTTTCAGTGTTTTTGAGCCTGCACTTTACACAATTAGCGGCGGAGGCACTGGCACATCAATACCCAAATTCATCTTTTTTGTATACGTAAGCAAGTACGGGGGTGTTGCCGATGCGGCCGCCGCTTATTGGCAAGCGTTCCGGCACTTTGGTACGTATTGCACTTGAACTTGTTGGCGTTGTACTTACTTCCCATTGTGTTTGACTTAATGTAACGTACGGCAGGGAACTAAACTTATGATTTGTATTGCTGCACTTTCTACACAAAATTTAGAAAGTTTTACTTCTATTGGGGAACACTTCAGCGGACACAACGACCGCTCCAACTGACGAAAACCGAATGAACGACGTAGAGGAAAACGAAATTGTACGAAGTGGGCACGACGTGTCATTTGCCCAGTCTGTTGACGTTTCTTAACATTGTCTTAGGTATGCTAATATCATATCGATATATCGATACGAATCGAAAATTTTGTTTACCATGTTAAAACTATTTGAAATATTTGTACCATAACTAGTATATGAGTTTTAATAGATTTGCGTTTGTCATGTTCTTTTCATTTGCCCGCTGGTACGTTTTAACTGTTATAAAGGATAAGGTTTTATTATGCCGCTGAATTTTACTTATATTTAAATATGCCACCTATTTACCCAATCCCATTAAAAGAGAACGCATATATCAGCGCATAATGCCAATAACATACTGTTAATGTTATATAACATCGATAGATTTACGATAGTCGATAGCTTTCTGTTAATGCAGGAGCATTACTGCTAATTTAAGCGTTGCCAATAATTTAAGTAGATATGGCAACATTGTGTGCAATAGAACTCTACAAAAAGCAAAGCAACCTAGCCTGCGAAAACAAACGCAAAGCAACAATACAAACACAGGCGAAATCAAATTATAAGACACAGACGTAATATATGCGTGAAAAACTAGCTGGCAACAATAATAGTTGCGTGTGTTAAGCCAAATGTCAAGAAAAACTAGTAAAAAGCGACGTATCAAATAAAAATTTAGTGTTAAGTGCTATTCGACTATGACTTCGGTTATATATGTGGATTTGAGCTCGGATTCGGAGGAGGAGGTAAAAGCGCCAGTGACAGCGCCAACGTTCAGCTGGTGTAGAAAAGTACAGTTGTATTTTTAATAGGTTTTGTGCAGTGGTATGCGCGTATTAGTGTTGCGTGCGTGTGTCTATATGTGTATTATATGTGCATATGTGCTTGTGTGTGTATATTACAAATTATGTGTACGAATATCTTTTTCGCGCTGCTTTTATTGTTGCTCACACATACAGACGCACACCAGCAACTCGACACGCACACACTTGCACAGCCAATGCTGCCAGTGTTGCCACTGCGTGTGCAGCAGCAACTGCTGCATTTGGAGCGACTAATTGGAAATGTTAATTATTCTATATAAAACCAGTTGTCATGCATGTGTGGGTGTATTTATGTGAAATTAGTGTACAATTAACGTCGCAATTCGTTAACTGTTGGCGATTTAACATTTGTTTACATGCCTAGACAAAATGTATGTAACTCTACACTGCATTCAGTGGCGCGCCTTAAAACTCTACACACACTGCTACTCACACAGCTGCAGCGGCGTTTTTTGTTTGTTTTGTTTTTAAATGGAATTTAAAATGCAATAGCCAACAGGTCGTTTTTTAATATAATCTTCGTTTGTCTCCAGGGCCCACCGGATGTCAAGCGAGCGCGTCGAGACCAGGCCAGGATGTCCACGCCGAAAGCCCTGCCCACAAAACTGTTGCACATACCAAAAGCATCTCTTGCAACGCCTGCCACGGGCATCAAAACAACGCCAACTGCAACAACAACAGCGTCAGGAACCGGAACAATAGTAGGAACCTACAGGTACCCAGCTTCTGCCAAGGGGTATAGTCAAGTTTTTAATTGCTGAGCTGTAGCGATCAGCTCAGTTAGCTTATAATCTGAGATATAATCTTACGCCAGTAGCTGAAAAGCTAAGAGACAAGATACAGCTCAAAAAATTAAATACTTAATGGAGTTGGCAATAATCGATTGTCTTTTCACGGTTTACGATTGGTTGTGTTATCGATAACTTATAGAGAAATTTGTTTCTTATAGGTCCATGCATATACCCAGCGGCATAACGGTTACCAAGCACAACAACAGCAATGGCAATTTCAACATGTCCGCTTCAAAAATCTCGCTGGAGAACAACAATAATAGCAATAGCAACAACAACAATAATAATAGCAATAGCAACAACAACAACAACAATAGCAACAATAATAATAACAATAACAATAACAACACTGTGAATTACAAGCCATTTAAATTGTCGGGCGGCAACTGGTCCAAGGCAATAGCTGGCACTGGCACCACAATGGCAACAATTACCAGTGTACCCATCCCCCAGATGCTGACATCCAAAGCGGCACAGAAAACCGGCACACAACAGCACAAGGCGTCAATGAAGCAGAAGGCGGCGACGTTGGTCCAGCAAAAAACTGCGCCACTGCAGCAGCAGCAGAAGCCGTCGACGCCGACGTCCTTGCAGCAGCAGCAGCCGAAGCCAGCACTGGCGATGTCAATGTTGCAGCTGCAACAGCAGCAAAAGCCGTCGATGGCAACGTCCGTGCTGCAGCTGCAACAGCAAAAAACGCCGACGACGACGCCCATGCAAATGCAGCAGCAGCAGAAGCCGTCCACATCGCTGTCCACATTGCAAAAGGCGAAAGCGTCGACACCGCCCTTGACACCACAGAAGCCAATGTTGCAGCAACAGAGGCCCTTAAAGCCACCTTTGCAGCAGCAGCCGAAGGCTCTGGCCGGCACACAGCTGTCGTTGACAAAAAAGCTGCCAGTCAAACAGAAGCCGCAAGCGGCACAGCGTTTGCCCACACTGCAAAAGATGCCGGTGACCATGACGCTGACGTCGCCCGCGCTGCTGCAGCCGAAGTCCGGGCAATTGGCATCGCCGGCACAGAAGCTGCCGCCGCCGGCGCACAGTGGCAACAGCAGCGTGATGGTGCACAAACAGAAGCAGCAGCAGCAGTCGACATCGACGTCAACGCTTGCACCGCCACCGCCGGCGCATCATTCAACAGCAGGGACGACGCCGCAGCTGGCGAAACTGACGCCAATGCCTATGCTGAGCAGACAGAATGTGGCGCTGTCCAATCCCGCTTACAACAACAGTGCGGCCCGCACGTTGCCCTACAAAATGAAAACAACAACAACAACAACAACGGCAACAACAACAGGATTGCGAAGCGTGCAGCCTAGCATCAGCAGCAGCAGCAGCATAACATCCGCCACGCCCATGACAGCTGGCGCCACGCCGCCCCTGCGTTTGCTAGCCACGCCTCCGCATTGTGCTGCGGCGCTGAATGAGCCGCTGTTGCTCAATCTGCCGCCCACCACGAGCATAACTCCACAGCTGACGCCAACAACGACGCCGCCGCCGGCAGCAGCGCCCGCTGCCGCAGCAACAGCTACAGCAAAAATAACATTTCCCGGCGCCAGCATATCGCCTGTACAGAAGCCCGCGGCCAAGCGCGTGCAGCCTATAACGGTGCTCAAGAAGTCGGATGACGAGTGGCGCAGGCATCTTGCCCAGCAGCAGCTGCAGGAGCTGAAGCAAAAAGATAGGCAGTCCGCCACGCCCACCATAGTGCTCGTGGAATCGCCACCAACAACGCCGCCCACAGAAAAAGTGGAAAACGAGCAGACCAAGCGTAAGACGCCGCCAGCTGCAGTTGATCCACCTGTAGCACCAGCCGCAACAGCCGTGTCCGCGTCAAAAGCCTCTCCAGCTGCGGCAACGACGACACGTGCGCCCCTCGTGCCGGAGTATACAGCCCTGCTGCAGCTGTGCCGCGAGCTGGACAAGTCGGAGGACATGGAGCGTCTGATTGAGATTAAATTGCTGAAATATTATTACAGTGTGCATGAGAATTTTGTGCGTTCGCGCGGCTTTCGCAAGCAATTGGAGCAGGCCATGGAGCGTATGCGCAATGAGCCGGACATGATTTATGTGCATCTCAAGTGTGTCGTCGATGAGCTGAAGGTGCGACGCAAGGCCAAGGTTGTGCAGCTGCCGATGGACGAGGCGCCGCCGCCGACCGAAGAAAAGGCAGCAGCAGAAAAGGCGGCGCGAGTCCCAGCAGCAGCGCCAGCTGGAGCAACAACTGTAGCGGAGATTAAGACAGCGGAGCCAGCTGCGGTGGCGACAACAAGCACGCCCAGCACGGGCAATAAACGCAGCGATGAGCGCATACGAAAACTGAATCGAACATTGTACACAATAACGAAACGTATTAGCGCCTTGGAGGAGGCGGATGTCGATTGGAATGACGACGATGATTCCAGTTATCTGCAGGTGGAGCGCTACAAGAAGCGCGCCTGTCAGATCTATGAGAAAATCTGTGATCTAACCGGTGAAAGTAAAAGCGCCCATCGCCAGATGAAGCAGCCCATATTATTTAAGGATACGCCATATCCGCAATTTAATCGCACACTCTCCGCGTTTGTCAATCGCATGCATGAATTTCCCGATTACCATGATGTGCTACAGCTGCTCGAGCACTGCAATAAGGAGAAGAATCTGGGCCTGGCTACATTCGAAATGAAGCGCATAGGTGGGATTGAGAGTTCTTATCTGTGCATGCATACAACTTATACAACTATAATCAATTGCTATTTGCAGCTCATGATGCCTTCGTCAAGGTGGGCCGCCTGCTGCAAGCGAGGCGCAAGACTGATCTTTACGAGACCGTCACACATTTTACGGCCAATGCCAAGGATCCGGCGGCCTCGGATGCCGCTCTGCTGGCCAAGCTGAACGAGAACAACAAGAAGCAAACTAAAATCAGTGATATACTGGAAAAGTGAGTAGCTATTGAGTAGGTGCTGTTGTACACAACTAATCTGAGCACTGTTTGCAGATTTGCGCGCGAGCAGGATCTCACCACGGAGGAGCAGCGTGAGGCGCGGCTCAAGGAGAAACAGCTACAGGCAACTGCCGCAGCAGCAACTGAAGCAGCAGCGACAACGGCCCATGATACGGCCATAGCTGCCGGCCAAGATGATGACAAGCCCTGCACCAGCGCGCAGGCGGCACAAGCAGCCCAGGCGCAGGCTCAAACAGCGCAAGTCGTGTTAACCAATGGCCTACAAAAGCATCGGGACAGCGAGCACGAGCACGAAAGCGACAGCGATGAGGAGGATGAGGATGATGAAACGGATGAGGATGTCGATGCCTTTGTGGACAACTTTAAAGCAAATGGCGAAATAAGCGATGCAGAGTCCGAAACGGAAGCGAATGCAGCACCAAAGACATCTGCCGCGGCGGCTGCTCATGTGATAGTTAATAATATAACGAGAGTCAAGACTGCTGAGTCCAGCCCCAAGGTTGCAAATAATGATATCAATGTTGAACGTGTTAATGACAATGCGGCTGCCAAGACGCTGCCCAATGGCAAGCTAAAGGATCCATCTGTACCCCACACACTTAAGGTCATGTCCGTTTCTAGTCTAAATGCCACTCTATACGCCAGCAGCAGCAGCAGCAACAACAACAAGAGCAACATTAGCAGCCGAGAGCAGCCGCAACAGCAGCAGCAGCAGCAGCAAAAGAAACAACAAATCTTAATAGACACAGAAATTATCATTTCGGATGAGGAATCATAGATGCTTTTTTTACAGTCACCATTTTCCATCACATCAGCAAAATGTTAGTTTATGTTTTTAGTTAGAATTTATTTATTTATCTCATATATAGCGCACAGTTTTGTTATATTTCCATTTACATTAGACGTTGTTTTGCATTCAGTGAATTGAATAACATCTGTATTTTATGTATCATATATTATGTATCATTTATTTTCCATATTATGCAGCACTTTGTGGATGCTGTGCTATATCCTGAGCTATTTTCGTGCGCATAAGAAGCTTGGGATAGTGTAAATATGAAATGCAACTACTATTAATTTTAAGTGTATGTTTTAAAAAAACACTAATGACATAAGAAATAAATGAAAATTCAAAATAATTCACATAGTTTTTCAATTGAAATAATTGTCAATCTCTAATTAGCCTTGGATTATACACTTTATTTTATTTTAACGAATTTTGCTATTGTTTTACTCATTTTTAATAATTCACTTTTATCGGACACTATTTCTTATTTTATTTTTGAAATTTGGAGCTTTCGGAGTAGCCTGCAGCCTCTCCAGCAGATAGCTGGTTATCGGCGAGTTATCGATGACAGTCTCTTCGATAATATCGAAGTGGTCGTACTTATCGAAAAGCTTAAATGTTACATTGAAGCCGCCATCTTGCAATTTCTTTGCAAATGCGCGACTTTGCTCTATGAAGGTGACGCTCTCGTACTCTGCTGATATCACATGCGACTGGACGCCAGACCAGGACGAGCTATCGGCTTGCCATGGCCACAACATGGGCGATAGTTGCTCGGCACTTTCTGCGCTAAGTCCGAAAATATTGTTGGGATTCACCGGTTCCAGTTGCCAGAGTTCGCGCAGATCGTAAACACCGCAAATGAAGAACAGGAAGCGCACCTTTTGGCGTCGCTCCTCGGAAATCAGTGCCGGAATATGCAGCAACTGGGCCAGAAGGTGTCCGCCAGCTGAATGAGCCGCAAAACTGAGCTCAGTAGTTTGCGTTTGCTCGGCATAGTCGAATATCCATATCAAAAAGTCTGTGAACTGCTCGACCAGCTGCGCCAGCGTCACCTGCGGGCAATTGTTGTAGTCCATGACGGCGACGCGATAGCCTCGACGCACCAGAGGAGCAACAATGGAGCAGGAATGGGATTTGTCCAGCATTTGCCAATAGCCGCCATGTACATAAACAAAGAGCGGCGAGGGCTTCGATGCTTCATCTTTATAAAAAACATCGACTAGTTGTCTGTCATCCGAGCCACCATATCGCAAATTATGAACTTTGATCCCGTATTTAGTTGTCAGCTCGTTGGCATCTTTTTTGTTAATGATAATGAAAGCATATGCTAATTTGTATTTAGCTAAGACTTACGCTGCTTTGTCACTTGCAAGAAATGATCTTGTACCGCGATATTGGGCTCTGGCTGATCTTGAAATCTAGCCGTGTGATAGCTGGGAAAATAATCACGCACTAAATCAATGTTTTTCTCATTAGGATTGTACATGATGATAAGTCGCTGCTCAACTGAAAAAAACAGCAGTAAGGTATCTGGTATTTAACAACATATTGGCGAGAAAACCTGTTTATGGCAATTGCAAATATTGGTTTGTGGTTTTATGACCAGTTTAACGGGCGTTATTTTTTTTGCAATTACTTTGATCTTCAAATGTTATAAGAGTTGAGTGCTTCAAATGAACTAGTTCATGTGAGCAACGCTTCGAATGTTGCCACCATATTTTCGTCCAGGCAGCTGGCAACATTTTTCAATAAGGTGGCAGCACTGCAACTGAAAAGCCAACTCAGCTTCCAGTTTATAATTTATTTTGTCAGTAAAACAATACAAATTTGTTATTAACTATGAGCAGATCACAACAGAACGATGACGACGTCAACTCGGCGCTGTTCGATGCACGCAATGAGTATTACATTGGCAATTTCATGGGCTCCATAAACTTTGTACTGCCGGAGCAGGGCACGGCTGGTGCCGAGCTGTTGTCTTACATGTATTTATCATATTTGGCCATCGATTCGGGTCGCATTATAGCCTCGGACATCAAGGAGAATAACACGACACCGCTGCTAGCGCTGCGTCTAGTGCACGAAGCCTTCGAACAGCCTTCACGCACCGAGGAGCTGCTGGAGAAGCTCACCGACAAAGTGGCCAGCGATGAGGATGAGACAAACATTTGGCACATCGCCACAGCCATTGTCTACTGCTACGATGGACAGTTTGAGAATGCCCTGAAGATACTGCATGGTTCCAATAATCTCGAATCCATGGCATTGTCGGTTCAATGTCTGTTGCGACTGCAGCGTGTGGATCTGGCCAAGCAGCTAGTGGCCAAAATGCAGGAGATAAGCGATGATGCGACACTAACACAGCTGGCACAGGCATGGGTTGCGCTGGCACAGGGTACCGAGCAGATGCAGGATGCATTCCATATCTATCAAGAATTCTGTGAGAAGTTTAAGCCCACGCCGGCGCTACTAAACGGTCAGGCAGTGGTGCACTTGGGCCTGGAACGGTACGAGGAGGCCGAAGCTGTGCTGCGCGAGTCGCTTACCAAAAAGCACAATGACTACGATACCCTAATCAATATGATGGTACTCTCGCACTTGACGGGCAAATCAACGGAAACGATTACACGCTACTGGGAGCAGCTGAGACAGTTCTATCCGAAGAGCGATTTTGTGATCGATTTGGACAAGAAATCCGCCGAGTTCGACAGGCTCTGCTTGGAGTACGAGCCGAGCAGCGAGCAGCTGCTTGCAGTCTAAGCAAAATCATTTACAAAATATTACATTCACGTATAAAACTTTATATGTATATGCATTAAATTACATTACAAATTTATAAGATATATATATAGATAAGGTAGTCTTCAGTACGCTAATAGCTGGGGGTGAGAAAATTTGATTGAATAGTGGATCAATTGGTTTTAGTGGATTTGCAACTTACTTTTGCTTGAAACCATATTTTTTACGCTCATAGAACAAGTCTGTCTTTGAACTGCCCAGATTGACAATCTTGGGGCAACCGTCGCGCTGTGAGTGAAAATTTATAATTTTTATTTGTAAATCCAAGGAAAATGTATTTTCTGTTTCTACTCACATCCTTCTCCTGTATGGTGCAGGATTTGCAGTAGTAGGCATCAGAGACGCCGGGACCGCCGCAAATAACACAACGTCCCTGATACGAGCCATAGTTGCACTCGTCACAGATGCGCACCAAGGTGCAAGGACGCACGTACGAGTCACAAATTACACATTTTCCATCATCCTTTTCACAGAGCCGGCCAATGGCTGCACGTGAGAGATCAAAACATTAACATACATTGTTTCACACAAAATAGCTGGATGTTGTGGGACTTACCGACGCCGGGTTGCTTGCGGCAGAAAATCAAATCGGGATGATGCTTAGCCATGTTTAAATAGTACTATTTAATGTATATTCAAATTAAATAACAAATCTGCGTTTGCAAAGATAAGAGTTGCTTTTAGTGTTGATGGCAGTGTGACCGTATACTAGTTAGAAAATAATAACTTAGCGACATTGGATCAATGTGTCTTTATTGCACTCATATTTTGCACACATAGGAAATGCTGACTTGGAAAACAGGCGTAAGATTACTTCGATGATGAAAATTTTCTATTTATATGTAATTATCTCGCCATATAGGTCAAAGCATTTTAAATATACTGTTTCACACCTAGCAAAAATCACTGCAAATATTCAATTGGAAAATACCAAATATTTTTTTGGTAACACTGCACAAACAGCTGTTTTCCTTATTTTCTGTATACAACATTGTAGAAAAGTGCATAAAGCAAAATGCAGTTTTATTAAAACGAGTATAACTGATAAATACACATTAAAATATATTGAATTAAGTGCTATAAAATGTCCCAAGTGACGTCGTCAACGACGCAAAGTGCCGCTGCCGCCCAAGCGGGCAGCAGACGTGTGCCCAACAACGATGCAGGCGTTTGCGTGGGTGTCGGTGGCGTTGGCTATGGCGAAACCGAATGGGAGGCGCGCGAGGTGAGCTAAACTAAATAAGAAAATAAGTGATATCAAATATATATGCATGAATAAATAAATGTCACATAATCAACAGTCGCAGCGCCAACGGGAGTTGCACGAGGCACGCGCGCGAGCCGCCCAAATGGAAAAGACAATGAAGTGGTGGTAAGTAGAGAAAGGTGGAAGATGTGCCGGTAATTATACTCTTGCAAAGGGTATGATAATATTCTCAGTAAATCTATAAAGTTAGAATGATACATTAGCAAGGCCAAGTATAATCTGTCTCAGTTTGCAATTATGTTTATGAATCTCCACGAAGATGCGTCTAGGCGCGTGCAGCTCAAAGTCAGCCAGAAGAGTATCACATGTAACTGCAATGGAAAAGATCCCTCGGAAAGAGTATTTAATCTTTTGCACGCCGGAGACTCTTGTTATTTCTTGCTAATTAATATGTTACCTTCCTGCAGGTCCGATTGCACTGCCAACTGGCGCGAAAAATGGAGTAAGGTGAGGTTGCCATGGCGCCCGTTGTATCAATATGGTTGATTGTTTAATCACACAAAATATCATTTTGCAGGTGCGCAACGAACGCAATAAGGCGCGAGAGGAATCCAAACAGTTGAATCTTAAACTGGACGTAGCCATGAAGGAGGCACATTCCCTAAAGCGTGAGAAAAATGATCTGGAGGTACAGATCACACAGCTAAAGAAGGAAATGGAAAAGGTACATTCCCTGATGATGAAACATGCCGGACAATTCCATCGCACCGACACAAACGAGGACGCCGAGGCGAATGGACGTGATGCCAATTGTTCGCCAGATATATCATCAGATGGCTTAAAAAATGTGAACAGTGAGGACGGTTTGGTCACCAAGCTGCCCAACGATGTCAAGGATCTGGATATTGAGGAATTTGCGCTGAAGGGCGCTATGCCCAAGCATCTGAGCGACCTGGAAGCTGCTGCTGCAGAGGAAAAACGCCTAATACAGCAGCTGTCCAAAGACGACTTCGACGAAGATTATTTGTTGCAAAAGATATCCATGCTGCAGCTGCGCTTGGATGAGGCTCAAAAAACGCTGCAGGCAGAGCGAGAGTACGTTTAGAAAAGCAGTTCATATAAGTAGGCAATAATTTATTAATTTAAATTACATTTGGCGATTGCAGTGAAAAGCACGAGCTGCACAAGAGCATAGAGAAACTGGCGCTGGAGCTGCAGGATGTACGTGGACGGCAGGATGAGTTGCGCTCTGCAAAGCAAGAAGCGGTGCGTGAACTTCTAACCCTGCAGGTAAGTTGGTTCATTTGAAGATCTTGGCCAATCAGCCACATATATATATAACTAATTTAACCCTAAGCTGGAACAAACACTAGACGGGGGTTCCTTTAGATTTTGGAAGTCCCATCTGGGATAGTATTTGTAAACGATTAATATTTAATTTCTATTCAGGAACAACATCGCGCCGAGATGCGCATTGTGAACAATTCATTGCAAGAGGAAATTGCTGCACGCGAGAATCTGGAACGTCGGTAGGACCTAGCTTTGGGCCAAGCTCTTAAACAGTCGGTTAATTATTTGGCTTTTTCAGACTCAGCGAGCTGCGCACAGAGCTCGAGCATTTGCAGGCTGAAAACGCATCAGAGTGGGGTAAACGCGAGCGTTTAGAATCCGAAAAGCTGGCTCTGGAGCGGGATAACAAAAAACTGCGCGCCGAACTGCGTGACTATCAGGAGCGCTCGGATCGCAAATGCCGACCCATGCAGGCCAACGATGTTGAGTTACGAGCGCTGCAGCAGGAGCTTTCGGAGCGCAACAAGGAAATCAGCGAGGTCAAAATGTCGCATGCCAAACTAAAGAAATTACTGGCCGAGACAAACACGGAACTGGGGCATGCGGTGCGACGTGCCGAGCAATATGAAACGGAGGTGAGTTAAGTTAACAAAATTCCTACACAGATATTCTTAAAGCACATCCGACATGTTCCATTGAAGCTTCAATTGGCAACCAATCTTAGGGCTTTAGACACTTGCCTGGGTTAGAGTTTTCGAGTTAAGATTTGTTTTGGTTGCAGCCGTTTTGTCTTTAATATAAAATTCGATTTAATACTAGGAAAGTGTTAACATCTCTTGGCTAGAAACGAATTGAATATTGCTTTTTATTTTGTTTGCCTAGCTTAATTTATAAACTAGAAACATAGATAAATGCGCGAGTTAGCTTTAATTGGCAAACGCCGCCAAGCCGGTAATGGCACGTCCAAGGATCAGGGCATGAATATCATGAGTGCCCTCATAGGTGTTCACCGATTCCAGATTCATGACATGCCGGATCACATGGTACTCATCACTGATGCCGTTGCCTCCAAGCATGTCGCGCATCTGACGCGCTATGTCCAGGGCTTTGCCCGCGTTGTTGCGCTTTAGCAGCGAGATCATCTCGGGCGTATGGAGTTTGCGATCCTTAAGACGACCCACATGCAGACATGCCTGCAGACCGAGCGCTATTTCCGTGGTGGCATCAGCCAGTTTCTTTTGGATCAACTGATTGGCGGCCAGTGGTCGTCCGAATTGCTTGCGATCCAGCGTATATTGACGCGCCGTTTCCACACAGGCCTCCGCTGCACCCAGTGCTCCCCAGGCAATGCCATAACGAGCATTGTTCAGGCAATTGAACGGTGCGCTAAAGCCGAGTGCTTTGGGCAGCAGCAGTTCCTCGGGCACGTGTACATCATCCATCATTATCATGCCCGTGGGCGAGGCACGTAGCGAGAACTTGCCTTCGATCTTGGGCGTGTCCAGGCCCTTACCAGACAATTTCCGATCGACAATAAAGCCGCGCACTTTACCATCCTCGCCCTTGGCCCACACGATTATCACATCGGCAATGGGCGCACTCGTTATCCACGTCTTCGAGCCATTCAGTATGTAGGTTTTGGTTTTACTGTCGTATTTAGCGCGGGTTTCCATGCCAGCCGGATCGCTACCATGGTTCGGTTCGGTAAGTCCAAAGGCGCCTGAAGGTTTATTAATTTGAAATGGAATGTTAGTTAAACATATTTTGAGAAATTGGTTTAACAAAAATATTTCTTTAAAAATTTGCCTTTACCTAGTTAGAAAGTGAAAATGTTGTAATTGAAAATTCGTTTTATAAAAAATTATGCTTAATTAATTATAATTAAGCTCAAGCTTGTATTTCCTAAACATAATTTTTTATAAAACGAATTTTCTATTTTAAAATTTTCACTTTCTGAACATAGATATCATAGGGTATTTAAGCTTCGACGTTGCTGATCAAAAATTTTTGTGTTTGCGATTCTCTCTTTTGGTTCTTTTCCGCTCACGCAGCCACACAAGATAGTAAGAGAGAGAAAGAGAGAGCGAGCTTTTTGCAAAGCTAACACAGAGTTGTTTGCTGTCATCTGCTGTCATTAAATTCTTCTTCACCCCTCCCCCCTCTTTGCCCAACACACTCATTCAACTTGTTTACTTCAGTTTGTTGTTATGCGCCCCCACCTCCCTCTGTTTAATCTGAATCTTATCAATGCTGATAAACGGCAAATCTTTCAAATAAAAAAAAAAAAAAACAGGTGATCGCGATGGACAGCTTATAGAGATGAATTTAGCATGTAAATATGTATGCAGCATGTGTATATATTTTTTTTGGAAAAGTTCTCTTACCTATCAGCTTGCCCTGCGCCATGCTTGGCAAATACTTTTGCTTCTGCTCATCGGAACCATAATCATAGATGGCGCCCATTGCCAGGGAGCTTTGCACGCTCACCGCAGAACGATAGGCGGAATCAATGCGTTCCACCTCGCGCGTAAGCAGACCGTATGCGACATTGGAGACGCCGGCACAGCCATAGCCCTGCAGTGTGCAGCCCAGTACGCCCAGGCTGCCAATCTCCTCCATGATCTTCTTATCGAATTGCTCCAAACGATTTGCGAGAATGACGCGCGGCAGCAGCTGCGACTGGCAATAGCCGCGGAATGCATCGCGAACGGCCATCTCCTCCTCGGTTAGCTGACTCTCCAAATTGAGCGGATCCTGCCAATTGAATTTGGGTGCACTGCTCGCCTTGGTGCTCGCCAGGCGCCGGATGCCGCACGCACCCAATTTGCTGATTATACTTTGCGCAATCATTCTTTATGCCTGTCTTTGTTGTTGTTTTCTTCGTTTGCCTTAATTATGAACTTTCGCTGACCGGCTGCACTTGCTCTCCACCGCACGTTCAACTGACGCGCTCGAATTCGGATGAGAGACTGAAAAAAGCTTTGCGCTGAATAAAAGCTACCAGCTGACATCTGGCTGTTTATTGTTGGACTGACTGGCTGACTGCCTAAGCTCTCTCGCTCTCTCTCTCTCTTTTGCTCTCCCAATCTCCCGTTGTTTTCTTGTTCTTATTTTTGCCCCCTGCTGTTGCTAATCTTATTCACATTTTCTTAACAATTTGATTAAACATCGCTGATAATAATTGAAAATAAAAGTATTTTGATTATAAGTTGTAGGTTTGCTTTTTTGATGGCTGTGATGCGTTTTAAGGAAAATGTACCTAGAATATTATTCCTCTATTAAAATAACAAACATATTTTTGCTCTAAAAAGCTTTAAGTTTGGGAAATATATTGAAAAAAAATTGTAATTTAACACGTTTAATTTGTTTGTTAATTAACTAGCATTTAGATTACCTGTAATTGGTCAAAGAATCCTGGCTGAATATTAGGATTATATGGAAATGGAAACATTTGACTACTAACTATATCTATAAATTGAATAGATCCAGTAATAAAGGCAGCTTTATCTTTTCTAATTTGATGTCTTCAGGTAAAGCGTCTGCGGCAGCGCGTTGAGCAGCTGAAGCGCGAACTGGCCTGCGCCGAGGATGAGCTGGACTCGGCCGTTAACCAAATGCGGCGGCTGCAGCGCAGCAACGATGAGCTGGTGGGCCAGACGGAGGGTCTGCAGGTGCAGATACAACATTTGCAGAACAGGTGAGCTGTCATGTGGTAATAGGGAAACCCATTGCAACTAACTGCCCAACTAACATATCACGGTGCTGGTTAAATCCCCACAAACTAATCCAACTAAACACTAAAAATAAATTAAGACGCGCACCGAGTCCCCAGCTGCGTGCCATGGGCGGCGTTCAGTTGCGCAACAAAATCGCCGTGGAGCTGCCCAGCGAGTGTTTGCCAAACATAAACGATCTGCGCCAGATCTTTGATGACAATCAGGCGGGCGTGCGCAGTTCGCACAATGGCTGCGATTCAGCGGCAGCTCATCATGCCGCTGCTGTGAAGCGTTCCAGTCACACGGAGCGTACTCTGCTGCAGCAACAGCAAAGCAATGCAGCAGCTGCGGCAGCCGCAACAGCAGCAGCAGCAGCGGCGGCGGCGGCGGGTTTCTACGATGCCAAGACAACACATTTAGAGGAAAACATCTTCGAGGCCAAGTCGCGCAACTTGGAGTTTGAGCGTGCCAAGCAAAAGTTCGATAATCCACATGGACAGCATCATCATCAGCAGCAGCAGCAGCAGCAGCAGCAACATCTGCGGCAACAGCAGCGCAGCGCATCGGGACGCTACAACAGCGCCGGCAGCAACTGCGGCAGTGGGGGCAATCGCGCGAATCTCGCCCTGCCACTGAAGTGCATGACCAACAGTGGCGCCACAGCCAACAAGGATGTGGACATCAATAGGCAGCTGTACGAGGCGCACGACAAGGAGCAGACGCATGCGGGCTATGCGCGCAATAGTGTTAATTTAGATGGTCTCAAGGTATCCGACGATGAGGTGAGCTCTAACCTGGCTGATTACTAACATTGGTTTGGTTCCCCAGTATTTGCTTGCCTAGTTATAGATTCTTAGTTTATTTCAACATTAATTGTGGCACTCTTCTTGCAGACTCCGTAGCTATGGCTCGACAAGTTTACTGCTGGACGATGAAACCGAGGGAAATAGCGATTGAGCTCGAGATATATGTACGAAACATATAATTCGATATGATTCTATGGCAGTTTGTGGTATTATCTATTTATTATTAATTCTTAAATTTAATTAACTCTTAAGTTTTACGTTGCGTTTATGTTTGCTCAATTTGTTTTTTAAATTTTATTTAACCTTATTTTAAAATTGATGCTATCTTGAGTTATAAATTATTAAGATTATTGTTAATCTTTTTTGAACTAATCTTTGTTAAAATTTTACTCATAATTGTATTTTAACTCCAAATTGAGCAAGCATAAACGCAGATTATATTTTAGATATATTTTTATGCATAAAACTCTCTTTAAGTCTCACAAATTTGATCTTGGGCTTCGTTTCATATGCATTTCATTTGCAGACATTTTCTTTAATTTTGGTTCCTTAGTCAATTTAAGGGCTTATATAGATTGTTTTCTGAATGTTCAAATATGCAAAAAAGAGAAGAAAATAATATAATTCCAGATTCGCTTCAATTTAAGATTAAGATTAAATTCCCTTGCGGACATATACTAGAATATATTGCGGTATATTTATATACCTACAGAAACTCAATTTACGGCCTGTTGTACTTATTGATATTTTATATTGTCCGGCGTTTAGGGGATTAATCTCGTATGTTGGATGCATAATACATTCAAAAATAATAGACAGATATTCGCTGTAAATAAGAAACTCAAGAAATACTTGTTTTGCCCGATTTTCATAAATTCTTGACCATATTTGTCGGGATTATAAATGAATAAGCAGTTCTTCCAAATCATTTTATCAGATCTACAATTAAACAGAAGGCTAACTTCGGTAAATCGAAGTTATATTTTTAAATATTTCGAAATTGGGTAGACAAACTATAATCGGGAACAAGTCTATAGAACTTATACTCATTCGAATCTTGAACTTCGCCAACATTTCGCCGCATGCTAGCTTTTAATACATATTCCAAACACTATATACCCGACTTATCGAGATCTCCTCAATCCATTGCCTTGTGCTTTAACACAAAATGACTTTTATATCAGATATACTTACTTATATATGAATACTGCTATATGCAATACAGGTTATTGAATATATAAATATATATAGTGCCAGAAATATGTAACAACTTGAATAAGATTGACTTCAATATAAATTTCGATGTGCTTTTAAAATATTGCGAGTTTTTGCCGAGGAACTGAATTCAAAATACGTACATTTGTGCCTCTATTCGATAAAATTACAATTTTTTTTTGGCCACTTTCTAGTCTTTGTTTCTATTGGTTTCTGCAAAAATTCGCAAAATAAATTCGCAAAATAAAATAAAACATTTACGTATTAATTTATAGCAATATTAGTACTACAATTAAATATATTATAAACTTACTGAACAAAAAATAATATAATATATATATTTAAACATAAAAGCTGTCTATCAAATTTGGTATGTAACAAATAAATCTTGCGCTTAAAATCTGCTGAAAACTTTCATTTTAAAGGCAATTGAAACATTAACAAATATATTTTCTATAATCAATATATATTCAAGAGACTTGAGAAAAAACTATCTGCCACCAGTTGATAATAAAATATATTATTAAGTATAAAGTATAGAGGAGAATTGAAGGGTTGGTAAATGGTTTCGATAATCGAAAATTATACGACACAAAGTAGCCTATAGAGAGGCTTACATAATATGTCAGTTAAGTATTTTTTTTGAAACACATTCAACCAAAATTGATCAATTTTTGGAGAAAACAGAATTATATATAAATTTATGTAATCGTAGTAATTTTCGAACATTATGGTACAGCGAAGCACGAAATTTACCGGCATTTGCATTGCCATTTATTTGGTATATGCACTATTTGTTTTCTTTATATTACCGATGCTATTGCCCGATCCGGTTACCATGTCGCGCAATTTACTCGCCCAGCAGACCCGCCATTTGGGTAATCTGACGAACATAACCCTGGAGACCGGTGGCCAGCCGAAGCGTTCGTTATTGGTCACGTTTCGTGGCTCGGGAGCCATCGGTCTGCTGGAATATTTATCCCGTCAGCCGGGCTGCTATCATCACTTCTCACCCCTTATCGCGTACAAGCATCGGATCACAGATCTGGCCATGATTGATCATGCACTGAATGAGCTGACTTCGCTCTTCAACTGTGACTACAATAACTCTTTGGACATGCTTAACTACGGCATGAACACACCTACGTTTCGTAACTTTTATGGGGTACAGTGGAAGACGTGCTTAACCTATACGACGGAGGTGTGCTCCAAGCCGGAAACCTTGTCGCAAATTTGCAAGCTATTTCCGTTCCTTAACATGTCCGTGTATAATTTGGGCCTCAAGTATTTAATGGCCCTGTTGGAACGCAAAGAGTGAGTATCGAAATATATATATATTGCTCAAATTTATAACATTTATGATTTTTGGTAGTCTAAATGTTCGTATACTTTTGTTGGTCCGGGATCCGCGGGCCACAATGGCCTCCCGCTTGAATCGGCTTTGGTGCAGCAATCCGGAGTGCTTCCGGCCGGATGATCTGTGCTCAAATATGGCCGTTGATTATGACATCGCTGAGAACTTATTGAAAGAACATCCGCAACGTTTTGGGTTCGTTTCGCTTACCTACTTTTATTTAGATTGAATTTAGCCTGACTTGTATTATTAATTTAGAATTGTGCGCTATGAGGAATTGGCGCTCAATTCAACGATTGGGTTGAAAGCGATCTTTGATTTCTATGGTCTGCCAACCGAATCTGAAAATGATGTACAGAAATCGAAAGAGGATGAAACTACTAATATGTATTTCGAAAAGCCTATGCAATGGCAAGATATATTGTCGATTGAGGAAATCATGAAGATCCAAGAGACTTGCAAAAGGGCCATGAAACTATGGGGCTATTATCCCATTACAGATATTGAAAAAGAACGGAAATCCTCATTTAAGCCATTGAAAAACTTGCCATTGTTTTTGAAGTGAATATGCAGTTCTTATAGCAAAAATTTCAAGTATTGTGTATAATTTTGTAAATTTGTAAATTCATCGATAACAAATGTAATGCCGCCAGCGATAACGGCCAAACAGCTTGCATCTTTCATAGCTAGTAGATTTTTAGTAGTAGTTTTTTTTGGTATTTTTTTGGGCCATTTTATGTGTATTTTGTCGCTACATGCTGTACGGCCGCACTTTGGCCCCACAGCTGTTCATTCTGTTTTCGCTGCTCTCGGAAAGCTCGCCAGGCGTCGCAACAACAGTTCCAATTGGCAATCGGTCGCATAAGCAAAAGGAAAGATTAAAAATAAAACGAATTAAAAGTAATTTTGAATTTAACAACAAATTGCAATGTTTGGCACGTTTTAAAATGTGAAATACTGCTGCTGTTGCCGCGTAAGTCGAACGTTGTGCTAGTGTGTGTGTGCGTGTGTGCGTTCGTGTTTTGTTTATGTGTGTGAATATGTAAACAAAATTGCTTGGGCTAAAGTTTAAGCAAATCAGTTTCCCCATATTAGTTAAGTGTTGAAAGTGTGTGTGCGTCCACAATTCAGTTAAACTAACTGCAATACCAAATGAGCACAACGGATCTGGATCTGGAGTCCTGCGCGCTACTGACCGGCGATTTCGTCGAAACTGCCGCCAACGACTCCACAGCCACAGGCACAGGCCCAGGCACCGCCTGCTCCAGCAACGCACCCGCCACTGTCAGGACACGCACTAAGCAGCGCATCAGCTTAAATTCGAAACGTCGACGCAGCCGCATGTCCCGACGCGCAAATCTGATTGGCATCTGTGGCGTTAGCAGTTTGTGCATACTGCTGCTGATTGCCACCACACAGCACCGCCCGCTGACCTCACCCTTCAGCACTGGCAGCAGCAGCGGCGGCGCCAGCAGCAGCAGCAGCAGCAGCAGCGCTGCTCTCGCCTCGAATCTGCTGCCACGGAATGGCCTCGGTGGCGGCTACTACGAGCGCCAGCAGCAGCCGTCACAATCTGCCGCCACAATTTACAATATGACAGCGACCATAGTGGATGTCCTGGCGGCGCAGCGTGCGCGCATTCTCAATGAGATGGAGAACTTTGAGTATCCGCGCGGTGGCGCCGAGAAGCTAAACGATATGACGCCCGAGACCCAGGGCACGCCCGTGCGCAGCATTGTCGTGACCAGTTGGCGTTCGGGCTCCACATTCTTGGGTGATATACTGAATGCCATGCCCGGCAATTATTATCACTATGAGCCGCTGTTGGATTTTGGCATTAAGCAGGTGCGTGATCCCGAGGATCAACAGTTGGCCGTGCAAAATCTAAAGAATCTGCTCAATTGTGATTATGGTGATATGTCCGACTATCTGGAATACGGCAAGACGCACACATATCTATTTGAGCACAATCAGCGGCTGTGGGAAGTCTGTCGCGAATATCCGCGTTTCTGTTGGCGTCCCGCCTTTTTGACGCCCTTCTGCCGACTGTTTCCCATACAGAGCATGAAGACGGTGCGACTGCGTCTAGCTCAGGCCGAACAGCTGCTGCAGGATCAAAGGTGAGTCAGAAAATTAATTCCAATTGATTCTTTGTAACAATACTAAATTAAAAAGATCCCATTCAAGCTACAAGAAAAACTCAAAATAAGTATTTATGTGGGAAACAAAAAAACTTCAAAAGTATATATGAAGGGGCATGGAAATGGTTCAAACTATTTATTATGATTAATAGGCATTCAAATTGTGCGATCTCTTCAACATTTTTTTCTATAGAATCATTCTGGTATAGAAATATACAGATTATATTAAATTATTTGTTATGGAAATAAAATACTATATATTTTTATTAACACATATTAATTTAAATATATAATAATATATTCTGGTAATTACCATACGCACGTGCTAAATATTTGTTTATTACAATTTTCTAGTTTACCTAATTGTAATTTTTAAGTTCTAAGCGCAGCTGGTCACACCGTATCTTTTGTTTGCTGGCAACAATTTATTTGAATTACATACAGAAAGCGGTAGAGAGAGAGAGCGAGAGATATAAGGATGGAGCGAGAGGGAGAGAGAGAGAGGCAGAGCTTTAATCTGATCGCGCACAAAGAAAGTGAAAGGCGATGCCGCATGCGCAAATTGCGCCCTCCCTCTCTTTGACACGCGTCTTTGTCTTTGTCGCTTTTGCGGTTTCTCTCTATGCCTTCCCTCTCTTTCCACCAAATTCAACTGGTTCGTCGGTTTATTGCTTGTTTTTCCCTCCATCTGCCTTATCTCTATTTGAATGTGGTTTGACTTTGGTGTTGAAACTTTAGGAACGAGTACACCAAAAAATAGTTGTGTCGAAAACAAGTATTTCTGATTATTTTATTTAGATAGATTATACTTATATTTGCTCTTATATTTAATGGGAATAAAAGTTAATAAACGATTGCCTTCTCCCAATTATCTATATCAAACATTTGCTTATTATAGTAGTTGGGCATGAAAGTATATAACATCTATCGCAATCAATTTTGCCTATCAATTTTATGGGCTTGTTTACATATACTTGTTCAGTTGAGTTAATTAGTTTCTACGGAAAACACTTGAAATATGGCTACTTGGATTTTCCAATCGTTTTTTGAAAAAACCTTTAAGCATACAACCCAATTAGTAATTAGCGGGAATTTCGTATGCATTATGTAGTATTATTTTCAAAGTTCTACAGATAACAACTTGAGCTTTTTGTACGTGCTTCATTTTCGATATGTAAAAACTGATTGATTGTGCCTGTCTTAGTTTTATTAAATGGGTCAAGAAATAACTTCTAACCTATATTTAAAAAGAAACTTTCCCTAATTGTTAATTGAAATTGAATATGAGACAGAAATCAATCAATAAAAAAGTCTGGAATTTCTGAATGGACATTTATCTAATCTTTGTGGGATTAGGGAAATTTCCATAAAAATCTACGACAAAAGAACTTTTAATGCCAAAAATATAATAATGATAGCAAGAAGCTATTGCTATCTATTCAAAATTGATTTACGTAAATCTCCTTTATGGCTTGAACAATGCGTATATTCTGTTTGATCAAGTGGCAAATCCTTTGACCACATAATCGTAGGAAAATTCGTCGCAGCGCGTATTCGATTTGACCGCAAACAAAGTCTCGTTTACATAATTTTCCATTTAAAATCGAAGGCAAACAAAAACAATGTACAAAATCAATAAACTTCTGTAGTTGCGTGTGTGTACATTGGCAGATTCTCGGCAAACAAAACCTCGAGGGAAGTGCAAACAGAAACCGAAAACGTATTTGATTGATATGCTTTCTATTTTTCGACAATTCGATGGTATATTGTGGTCTCAGTTACAACACATTGAGATGAATTCAATGACATTGCGGATATGTTATTGTTGTTAAAGGAATACCAAAAGGAATTGAATTTCGACAAGATGTGCTAACATGTTGCGAGTTGGGTTTAGACTCAATGCGAATTGATTGACGTGACTGACGATTAAAAATAAATACTTATAAATATCCATTAACTATCTAATGTGAAGCTGGGCGTGTTTCATTCATTTTCTGCTGACAGGGACACGCACGAATAAAATTTTATGAATAATAAATAAAATTTTAAAAATATATAAATTATGTTTATGTCTGAATAATAAAAAATTAATTGAAGTATAGGCTAAAAGCTATCAATAGACAAAAGTTACATATTGTCATAAACATTTCATAAACTATGAAAAAAAATATAAAAAAATAATATAATATATTTAATTCGTACTAATGGAGCTAGTTAACAGTTCAAATTAAAAATCTGTAAAATATCGATAAGAGTCGCAGATGCTTTTTTATTCCTGTTAAATACATTTTCTCAACCTAGTTTACGCAATTGTAGTTCGTGTTGTGTTAGAAAGATCTGATTTGCTAACTGTCGGATTTACTTAGCTGTTATATCATGTGACTGGGCCAGTTGGCGTGTCCTCGTCTCTCTCGGGCACTTCAACATTTCACACTGCATGTGGCAAAAGGCAATTAGCATACCGAATCATTATGGCCAAGTCTTTCTGCAGTTCATAGCCGGAAGCTTGGCAATTCTCCTAAGTAAATTAGCTGGGCGCAAGACTTATTTTATTTTTGTTGCCCAGGCATTTCTCTTTGGCACTCGCCACTTGCGCTAAGTACTCAGGTTTCTTGTTATGCCCCTGCTCTGGCGGCGTATCATAAGAACTTTGTCGTGGATTATATAACGCACATATAAATGACAAAATTCTGGCATTTAAAATGTTAAAATTGAAATAATATGTAAAATACATCTTTGGATATAGATTTCTTTTAAAATAAGCAACTCACATTTATAAATTCTCAGTTTTCTGTCACAAATTTGAATAATTTGGTTTTCATTTTTTCACATTTAATTTTTGAGCTCAGTTCGTGCTTGACTTATTTTACCATTTACCTATATTTCAAGTTTCATTCCAATCGGGGTTTAATTTCGTTAAACTTCACGTTCATTCAAACTTAAAGGGTATTCCGACTTCCAAGTCTTGTTTTGAACATTTCCCATTCTTCTCTTTGCTTTGTTGCAGTAACATTTTTCACACTCTATTAACGCAGTGTAGTTGAACGGCCTGAAGCACCCGTTGGCTGTCCAGTGAAATGCATCAAAATTCCGGAAACGTAGTCCAAGCGCTTAGATTTATGTTGCCCCCCTCTTATTGCCCCACACTCCTCCTGGTTTCTCGCCCAATGTGGGTCAGCGTGAGGCGTTGTTTTGGGTGACTCACTAAGCGGTCGGTAACTTGGCCAACTTGGTTTCTAATTGTCGGTTGGGTCGGTCTCTCTGGGTGCGCCCAGCACGAAGGCCCTGGCTTCTAATCATTAATTGCGTATACGCCGCATTGCACAGGCCTTTTAAATAAATGTGCTTAATAGCCATTTTATTTTTATACATAGCTTTTATGTGATTTTTCTTGCTGTTAGGGGCTGTGTAAGGTCTGAGAATAATAAGCAGATTGATTCAAGTGGGTTAGTCAATCGATAAAAAGATTAGTTAGTTAATGAGATAAGATTTGATAAATATCCTATTATTGTATTTTAATATAATTTAGTTTCTATTATTTTGTATCTTTTAATATTTCTTGTTATTTAATCCTTTATTTTATTGTTGTTATGAATTTATACGCGATTATTTTGGGCAAAAGGCATCTAGTTAAGGCTTAAAGGAGACTTTAGCTAAAACCTAAAAATGTTTCCATAATATTTACCGTCTTTTATTAAGATTTATTCTGTTATTCTATTCTTTGCTGTCAATTAATACGAACATTTAATAAATTTAATGTAGTAATTATATTAATTTTGATTTTGCCTTGCAATCGTTTTGCATTTTCAAAAGTTATTGTTGCCTCTATATTTTTTTTTGTAGGGTATGTATGTGTAACTATTTTCCCTTCTATCATTCTAATTTGAGCACATGGCTTGGTTTTAATATTTCATTTTATTTTATATGTTTTTCGTGGCTGTTAACTTTGAGCTGCTTTGGCGTAAAGTAGATAAAATGTTGCGAAAATTGAAAGCGCCCACAGTTTTGGCCCAAACGAGCCTCAGTTCCGACAGCAGCTGCAGCTGTGCTAGCTGAAAGCCAAAAACCGCAACCGCAAAGAGTTTTTGGCTTAAGTCGCTCTTTAGTTGGCTTATAATGAGAAAAGTGGCCATTAGCTGAACAAAAAAAGTTTCGTAAGCTGCGTTTTAAAGCGGGCCAGTAAGACAGATAAGCAGAAAGACAGACGGACGGGTGGAGAAACAGACAGATAACAATAAGAGAAGAGTTTATGCTGGAGAGACCCCATTCAGCAAAGTTTTGAGTTTTGACCACAAAACGAACAAATAATAAAACCCGTTCTAAAAAGCTTATTGCACAATAGACCTCATTCTTGGACATGGCTGGCATTTATCTCTTTGCTGTGAACTCTTGACTCTCGCAATGCGTGACAGTTTTGACAGAGCCAAAGGGAGAGATCGGACCAGAGTTCACTGAACGTTCAACTGGCTGGCAACTGGCAACTGCGCCGTCACTGAACAAAAACACAAATAAAAAATAAATAAAGCGCGGGTGTCTGGCATACAAAAAAAAAAAGCCTATGAAAATGGGTTTTATTAATTGCCGAAGTCTAAATACTCTTGCTGAATAAATACCCTTGATAAAAAATGTCTTCTGTAGAGTTTAAATGATAATTCTTATATGATAGTATATTGTTTTTATTTATTTATTAACCAGGTTATCTGAAATTGAATAATATTATCTAACTAAACAAAGAATATGAAAATTAAACAAAATTTAAAATTAATAGTTTTAGGGGAATAATTCTTTAAGCTTATAATTATTATGAGCATTATTGGTAGAAAAATCAAAATCATCAAGATATCTTTGCTTGGTAAAATAATATATTTGAATAATTTATATATATATATATATTTAGCTCAAAAACGACTGTTCCTGAGTTGTCCGATATGCTTAGTATTTCACTTACGAAGGTGGAAAAGTAAATATTAGCTAAGGTTCGTTCGAGTTCTTTGAGGCAAAAGGAGGTTATTCTGTAATACCCGTATTTGAAATAACTGCAGGCATTTTTTATAAAGTGCTTCGATCGGGATTTTTGCGAAACATTTACTGTTTGCAGAAAAATTAGTTTAAAAAGGGGCAGACTCTGTGTTCAAAACACACAGACATTTTAATGTGCACCAAGAATAAATATATGTTATATGTCCGAAAATGTTAACTAGAATGCGTTGCATTGCTCACCATAAGTCCAATTAGCCTCATGTAAGAGCAAACAAAATAAACAAAATACGTTGCGCATTTTGCATTTGAAAACGAGTTTCACACAGCGCACAAGCACAACATTTTGGTACGTGTTTTTTTTTTGTCTGTGCCTCAAATGGGTGAAAAGCGCTAATAAAAATTGTCGGCAACGCTGCAATTGCCGCAGCTTTAAGACCAGGTCGAAAACGAAAACCGCAGTCACAGTCGCAGTCAGCTGGGCAATGACAAACTTTAGCAGCCAGTGAAAGTGATTGATATTTGTGGGTTTGTTTGTTTTTTTTTTTTTTTTGCTTTCTTGGCCGTACTGCAAGTTTCGCTTTTTATTTTTGCCGGGTGGTACTCAAAAATAATATCTAATTTTAGCTTACTCTGCTGTTGTTTTTCACTACGCTCTGCCTTAGCCTTGCCGAAATCGGGCGATCGATCATATGTTTGATGCTGTTTCGATCGACTCGTTAACCGGTTTTGAGAATATCAATGCACATCCATAAATACTTGCTGATGTATTCGCTTGATCCATTGCATGGCCAAATAATTACTGATATTGATTTATTTGTAGTATGTGTATACCAACTGGTTATTTGAAGAGCTGCAGCTCGAATTTATTTTTTATTTAATTAAAATTATTAAACAGTTAAGAATCGATCAAATCCATTTAATGTTTATCGTTTTATTTTACCCATTTACCTATCTAAGCTGATCTGATATTTGTCATTTAATATATTACCTAATCATTTTTTTATTTAAGAATATTTCTTGTAAAATTACATTTAAGCAATATACTTCTTAAGGTACCCACAATATTCTGCAGATCAAATTAATAATTTCTTCAGAACTATTAAAATTTTAGTTTCCTTTCTGAGAATAAAAAGTTGTAGTGGAAGAAAATTCCATATATAATGGTCTATTTATAGTAATAATTGCAATTAATTTGATTAAACTTGTGTACATGTTCTTTTAATTGTTTTCTGATTTCATAATCATCCAATTTTTTGAAGATCTTATATAAATTTTCTACAGTCGAAAAATGCATTTTGCTGAGTATAGATCCAAAGCTCTAACTTTATAATTGAAGTTTTTGAATCTTTTCGTTTTTAAAGATCAACATAATCAATATATTTACTTAAAATATGAAACTGGGATTCTTACCGTTGCAATTTTGGAATATTATGAAGCAGTTAATATTATTTTATAGGTGGTATTCAAATTAGGCTTATTGTGTAATTAGCTTATATTAACAAATAATGCAAATACCCAAATAGTTAGAGTGTGTTCAGTCTGCGATTTGGCTTTGTCATTGAGGCAGTGCAGGATACTGCTACAAATTACAACCTTGTTGTAAATTATTAGCCGAAGGTCAATAGTAGCCAGTGCTTTTAAAAGTTAGCTTGTTAGCTAGTTAGATGCTATCTCTTTTATTTCATTATTCGAAACTTTGCAATAACTCCCAAAAAAATGGCAACGAATTTACTTTGTCAGCTCCGTCCGCAGCTTCAACATAGCGTAGCCTCATTAACAAATGTGCCAAATGTTGTCATTACCACACACACCATCAACATTTAGTTGTGTTAACAATATTTATTTTTAAATGCTGACAGGCAACGACAGGGCAAAGAAGTTAAATATAAAGATACCTAATACGATGCTAAGTTTCGAATGCAAAAAGTATCTTTTGCTTTTGGTTCTTTGTTGCTGTAAGTTAAAGCAACTCGTTGCTGACAGCCTTGATGGAAATTTGTTGTTTTTGGAGTTTTTAAACTTTTATTTTTTTTTTACATTTTTTATTTTCACGTATATTCTACACAATTACCAAACAGAATTTATCGTTGACGGGTCGCGTTGTAAATTTTTAAGTAGCAGCGCCTAATGTGGTTTCTCCAACTGCTGCAACTGGCAACTTTATGACATTCGTTGTTGTTGCTGTTGTTGTTGTTGCTGTTGTTGTTGTTGTTGTTGTTGTTGTTAGCTAGCCAGTGGCTAGCTAATGGTTCATCAATTTGGTATGCGTTTCGGTGCTTTGACTTTATGCCCAGTTGCTGTTCTTTATGCTCTGCTCTTAAAGTTCGTTTTTTCTGTATCTTTTCCATTTTAGTCTTGTACTTTTTTTTTGGGTGGCTTAGTTAGTTGCCTCACTTGGCTCGATGGCTTGATTGATGGCCTCTTTGGATGTTAGTAAATCATTGCAATTTTCACACGCTGCAAAATTGACTGGCGTACAATGATTCGTTATGATTAGTTAGCTGTACTTTGGTAGCGCTTGACTGAGCTCCAAATGGTTATTAAAATGAAAAGGCCCTGAAGGCATCCTGAGGGCAGTCGCTACGCTTGGCCTTCGGAAATGTATAAAAATAATGAGTATTACTCATAAGTAATATTCTAATAATAAAAACAAAGAAATAAAATTTCATTTTCTGTTCTTGAAAACCATTTATCGCAATGCATAAATAGAATAAATATAATAAAAAACTTTAAGTTAAATTAAATAATTATCTATACATATAAATGCAATACATATATAACCAAAAAACATTTTAAAATTCTACGAAAATATATTAAATAAAATTATTTATAACAGTTAAATATAAAATTATAATCAGTCATTATTTCAGACAAATCTTG